AGCCACGACATATTTAGCAGTCCCAGCTGAACAAAATGCACTGATATGTATTTTATTTAATCAAGAACAGCACTTTGGTAGACATTTCAGTGTTTACAAATTACAGTGAGTATTTGAAGACAACACCTATAGTCCTATCCCCAACAGGGGGTGCTGCAGAAAAAGTAAGAGAGTCACAAGATTGTTCTAAGAAATGCTTCCAACAAGGGAGTGTACAGTATGTCATTTATCTAAACGTGCTCATAAATGTATTGAAATTTAAAGAAAAAAAATCCTTCACTCAAATCTGTCCACTCAAACTAAACTTTCTTCTAATCATGGGTGCACACCACAACAGACCACACCTCTTTGTACAAACTGTTTTACATTGTGCCTGTGGAATAGCCTCAGAATAAGCCACTCACATCACTTTATCTCCTAGGTGACCAATACGCTCTTAAAATGCGGCTGGTTGACCATGTTTATGATGACCAGGTAATCGACTCCATGACTGTGAAAATCATTCTACCAGAAGGAGCCAGGTGGGTGTTTGTAAAAAACATTCATAAATCTTTTCACCGATACACAGATGTTTACTGTAGTAGCTAATTTATGGTGTTGTGTCTCATCAGAAACATCAACATGGAGACGCCATACAAAATCGATCGCATGCCAAACCAGCTGCACTACACGTATTTGGATACGTTTGGCCGGCCTGTACTGGTTGCCACCAAGAACAACCTGGTGGAGCAGCACATTCAGGATGTTGTGGTAAGACAGGAAATTAAAAAAAAAGAAGATGCAACTCATTTGTTATTCAGTCATCATTATTTGTTTTGTGGGACCTGAATTTTGCTAAACTTTATTTTGAATATAAGACACTTTTAATATAGGACAAGTAAACAATAGATAACTCAGTGTTGCCTCTATTGGACTTAATAGAGAGACTATGACCTAAAGCCCAAGAAAGCCTTTGTTTTAACCTCACATATTTGGCTGAAACAGAATATAAAATGTCTTCTGTTGTGTTTCCAGGTTCATTACAACTTCAATAAGATCCTGATGCTGCAGGAGCCACTGTTGGTCGTCGGGGCCTTTTACATTCTTTTCTTTACTGTTATCATCTACGTTCGTCTGGACTTTGCCATTACAAAGGTGAGACAATGTCAGAGGGTTTTTACAAAGAAAACTGTTTTTGTAGTCATCTGTGTCTATACTTTTACTTGGTGTGAATTGCGATTTATTCACATCAACACACATTTTGGTTGATTGCTAATGTTCAACCTTTTCTTACATCATCATTGAACAGACAAGAGGCATTATGGGGCCTATAGAACCTCAGTCATTTGTGTTGTTATTGTTGTTCTACATTGTAATGCTTTGCCTCTCTAACTTTAAGCTGGCTCTAATCTCTCTCATAGGACCCTGCTGCTGAGGTTCGTATGAAGGTGGCATCTATCACTGAGCAGGTCTTGACGCTGGTCAACAAACGTCTGGGTCTGTACCGACACATGGACGAGGTGGTGAACCGCTACAAGCAGTCCAGAGACACGGGAGCGCTCAATAGTGGCCGGAAGACACTAGAGGCCGATCACCGCACTCTGAGCAATGAGATTAGCTCCCTGCAGGCTCGCCTCAAAGCTGAGGGCTCTGACTTGGCTGAGAAGGTGAGTGACTTTTTACAGGTATTTGTAAAAAAATATTATGTATAAAAAAAAAGTCCTCGGACCTTGAACACCTCAGATCTCGTACACACACTCCGTGTAGAGCAGTGTATGAAAGGTGTATAAAAAAAAGTCCTCGGACCTCGAACACCTCAGATCTCGTACACACACTCCTTGACAATTCTGTATACTATTAACCCCTTATAATGACTTCAAAGAACGCAAGTGCACCAAGTATGGCTACTGTTAATGAGAGCGGAAAACAATACATTTTAATAAAGAAATTATCACAAAGCATGAAGAGGGCATGCAAGTGACTAACCTAACCAAAGAGTATAGTATGGCCAAATCGACCATTAGTTCCATAATTAAAAACACAGATGCCCTCAGAGCAACAGTTTCCAAATGAATGACATAGCTAAAAGCTAAGTGCCATTATAGAGTTTATAAAATGATTTTGGAAAGTCTGAAAAGAAGTCTGACTTTTTTCTTCTTAGTTGTACAACTGACAATATAGCTGTTAAAGGTGACAACGTGCATGTAAATGAGCTGATAAATTACGGTAGATGTTTGTTTAGGCTGCAGGTGCAGCTCTCTGTCACTAGGGGACAGCAAACACAGACGATTAACACACCTTTCAACCTCATCATCCTTTAAGGTTGGGGAGGTGCAGAAGCTGGATGGCCAGGTGAAGGAACTGGTGTGTCGCTCCTGTCAGGAGGCAGAGCGACTGGTGGCCGGAAAGGTCAAAAAGGAAGCGTACATCGAGAACGAGAAGAACCTGACCGGCAAGAGGCAGGAGCTCGTGGGCCGCATTGACAGTCTGCTGGACGCCCTCTAAAACACAAACCTGCAAAATCCAACTGTTAAGTGTTTATAAAAGTAAAACAAATGTGACAAACATGCCTAAACATTTTCTACCACCATAAGACCCAGACTGGGAGTGTTTGACACCACGTTCTCTGCTAGGGATGGGTTTAGCCACATTCTGTGTCCCTTTGTCGCTAAATGTCCAACAGCTTTATCCCAAATGTCTGCTTTGCTTCTGTTTATTCTGTTTTGTCCCACTGTTCTGGCTGACGGATCATGTTTTGTTCAAATCTGGACGTTTTTGTACTTGAGGTGTTAAGGGAGTTTTTTTTTTTTTAATGAGTCACTGACGCCCCGACGTGTTATCTTTCTCATGTCTTTACTCATTTAGGCCATATTCTAAGAGGAGTGTCTTTCACAATCCTGACCCTTGCACTTATCTCTTTGTTTATTTACTCTGCCCAGTCTGAAGTTTGTTTAGGAAAACTAAAGCTCTGATTTGTGTGTCATCCTAAATGCACATATTTTTTCATGTTTCACCAACAATGTTTTTAGTTTTTGTGTGTTTTTCTTTTTCCCATGAGATTAGTGAATACATGAGATTAGGCTGAAGGTGAGAAAAGACATGAGAAATGGTAAACAGATGATAAAGATTGGCAGTGATGTGGAAAGCTGTTAGTATTTGAAATAAAAATTTGAGAAACTCACATTTCCTGTTTTTTTTTTCCATGTTAGAAAATGACAGTGGTTTTCTAACTTTCAACAAGCAGAGTTTAAGACTAGAATCAAAGTCATTTTTAAATACAATCCACACAAAAATGATGACAATCTTTAGCAATTTATAAGATACATATAAAGGATGTCCAAAGCAGTTTATGGAACAAATTATACCATAAATGTACTTCATTAATGGATTAATCCAAACAAAACCATTTAAATTACTGACTGTTATTACATTAGTTTCAGAAAATGAGTCCTAAAGGGCACAACTGAATTTACCTTTAGCTTACAGTTACAGTTATAGTTAGTGAGAATAATTTTTGCTCCAAATATCCCTGATTTACATTTTGTTAGGATTTGGATTACAATTGTTTGCAAGAAATCTTCTTTCCTGAGCATACAATCCAAAACATGCTCCAATCTTCAAAATTGTTTTGTAGACATCTGTTTTTATTTTTTAAAAGATAATCAATTTTCTCAGCATCATGTGTTTATCCTTATTTATGCTAAATATACATTGAGATCAATTACAGGCCATGTATGTTTGTTCTAAATGAAAGTCAAAATACTTTTTTTTTATAAATTTTTAAAGCAACACAGATCTTCTTAAGTTATTTAATCAAAGGACATCAAAGTTCTTAAACTAATGCCAACATTTCTACAACTCTACATTCACAAGAGGGCACATTTATACTAATTACCACCATTTGACAATTTTGCAAAAAAAGAAAAATTATGTCATCAGAACAAAAATAATCATAGAAATCACTTGTACACTATGACCGTTTCCCTGATTTTTAAAAGACCTGGCATTTCACAGGGAATTTCCAGCACATTGTTGCCTTCCTTGTGTGTGTGTGTAACTCTCACACAACTCTCTCACCTCTCAGCATCTCCTCCCTGACTCTGCAGCAGTCAACCTGCCACCATTACAGTCTGAACACTGGACAAACACAGGGGTCAGCCTGAGGTCACTGCTTTCCCTCTGAGGTCACCAGGGTTCTGGAAGGTCATTTCCTGCTCCATGATCATGGGCCCCCTTTTCGTTAACCTTACAATGCCTGCATTAACATATTGTATGTGCCATACAAGAATCGTTCTGAAAATACACAGCTGGGGGAAGGCAAAGACAATGTCTGTTAGCGCTGATGCTCGGCGCTGGTGAAAAGCGGGACAATGGCATTTTTGTTTGGACTTCAGGAGATGTGGAGCAGTCAAGAGTTTAAAGAGACGCCAAGTTTTACTCTCATTGTGGCACAACAGACCGACGCAGGCCCCGTCTACGCTCAACACCAAAAAACTACACTTAATTCGCCAGAATATCTACTGTATGGTATCACAATCCTATGCAAAATGTCAGTGTTGTTTAAGAAAAGTATTTAAATAGATAAATTGTAATACTTTTTAAGATTACTGCTCAACTGTACCCGTGTGAAGAGCATTCAATATTTAAAACAGCATTTTTAGATTAGCTGCTAGTATTCTTTATATTGTATTTGTATTATATATTATTTATATGATACCACTGCTATGTATTGTATTGTATATGGGTAAGCAAGTATATTCAGACCTGAACACAGGCTTAACCCAAATTTTACGATTCAGAGTTACGGGGCATGAGTGTGCGTGCTAACGGTTGTTTGTTTCTTTATGTGTGGCTGTAATGGGCCGATGAAATGTCCAGGATGTACCTCGCCCTCATCCAGTAATTGCTGGGATTTACACCAGCTCCACCCACAACCCTGAAAAAAGGAATAGGCTGTAGCAGATGAATACATGAAAAAGGAGCAGGTGTGTGGATAGACATGGAGCCTCTTAGACTGATGAGCAGGTGGCTCTGATGTGGATGTTGCAAAATCTAAGAGATACGTTGTCAGGACACAAATGAAAAATACAACAACTGTATCTGTAATTACCTGTAAGAGATATTTGTGAAATGTACATACAGTGAAGGACAAATGTATTATGTTTCTAGGAAATCTAGAAGCTCTTTCTGGATTATATCCCTAAATGTGCTATTTTGCTCAGAAAGTTTATATTTAATTTACACGGCTGTGTTAATGACCCTTCAAATGTAATGTGGGACATATAGACATGGAGACTTCATTAAAAGGGAAATGACCCTAAATGATGTCACCCTCTTTTACTTGGGACGTATTCAGCTGCTGCTGCTGCTGCATCGCTGACCCCGTGTTGTCTCGTGTGGTCTTGGTTTTGGCTCCATTGGAGACCTTTCATAGTACTTTCAGTTCCAGCTCTGTTGTGTGGCCGTGGAGGATGTGATTACCGGGTTGCAGTAAAACTGCGGTTGATCTGTTGCTGTAAACCAAGCAGAATACTGTTTAAACCGGAATTCATGTACAGCACTGTATCCTGATGTGGCAGGGCGTATGTGGGTGTTTGAGGTGGATGGTGGGGCTAAGTGCAGGGTGTGGGACTGGTGAAGGGGCCATGTGGTTGAGCTGTCATGGTCCTCCACCTCAGATATAGGGCTGATTATTATCTTTCTTTTCCTGAAGTGTAGTAATGATGCAGAAGGTGTTCTTTCTTTATCTGCCAGAAAAGCAATGAATATGCAAAAAAGTCAAAGCAGGTATCAGTTGATGTGGTAATCCACAAGCTGTAGGCCTGGGGGACGTGGTGGTGATTGATTACATCGAGGTCTCACCTGCAGCACTCTGCCTCTTAATCTGTCTCAGTGTGTAACGCACACACACGTACACAAAAAGAGAGGCACAAGTCACCAGTCACAGAACAATATCCTGCTCAGAAGACCCTTCACAGCACACTCTCATAAATCACTGAAAGAGAGCTACCAGACTTACTGTCACCATGTTATTACACACATGCACGCACATACACTTTCACTCATCCAGTTCAGGCAGTACCGCTGTCCGGTTGTACCCCGATGTCAATGAAAGACAGAATCATGTGGCAAATGTAAACTCCACCCCACAAAAACAGACGTGGACAACATTTTTTACCTTCCAATGACCCCAATTACTATAATTAATATTCTGACCCCAACAAATACTACTTAGCAAAGTCATGTCTCTGACCCCAACAAATACTACTTAGCAATTTTAATTTTAACTTACTAAGAAGAACTACTGTCCAAAATTGGTTTTACAATGGGTTTTTACATACAATGCTTCTGTTATAAGTACGTGAAAAGACCTGTGACCTGACGCAGTTGGAGAGGTCCCGCTGGTTTTGAAGACCCAGTGAAAAGAGGTCCCGCTGGTTTTGAAGACCCAGCACAGCAGCAAACAAACAAAACCAAACTGGACAAGTCAGAGGACAAAGTATCACAAACGCACAAACTGTCCAAACAAGTACGTTTCAACATGAACCACGTTCTAACACGACATTAATGTAACTATTGTTTGAAAAGAAAAGTTTCCCTTCCCACACAGAAATCTCGAACCTGTCACTGGATACAAGAACAACATCGCTACAGTAGCAGCAGATTTGAAGGAATGATATTCACAGAGGAACACCAAAATAATCTGGAGTAGATCGGAATAACAGCAAGGTCAAGTCAGTACAAAGATACTTTCTGAGAACAGAGGACACAGACCAGGTAGAAGACCTAGAGATGGCCTTTGAATTCCACATATGATAGAATCTGGTCTGTACTGCACTGTATTCATGTCCAATATAATACACATTGCTGATTGGGCAGTTCAGTAACTATTAAGGTATGCACAGATTAAAAAAAGGTTTACTCACCCTATTTGAAGAGGAGGGCCATACTCTCTCATGGTGGCAAACCGAATAAATGTCGAAAATCTTCCCACTGACCTTCAGGTCCTCCACAACAACAGAGTCAACGGATATCTTGGAGAGGTTCAGTTTTTCCACAAAGTCCATGTGATTTTGGAAGGGTCGGTGGATCATGTGCTGGTGCCCCAGGGGTTGTTCAGAGAACAGAAACACACGTCAAAATGGAAACAGGGCGAGGAAATTGCCCCTGAAGTTTGCGCTACCAGCTAGCCACTCTTTCTTCTTCTCATTACGGGGCTCTAGTTTTGGTGTTTTTTTAATTCGGAGTTGCTGGTGTAGAGGCAATTTAGTAAAATAATTTGGTACTTAGTACTCCAAATCTACAAGCTCCATAAGTTCGATTATCAGCTTTGTTAGCATTTCAAGTTATCGACACAAATCAAGTCTTCCGCTATGGAATGACGTCAATGACGTTAATAGCATTCTTTGATTTGATTGGCTTGATCCCAACGAATTCGTGGCTTCCCTTTACACTACCCTGACTAATCACATCGAACTAGTGTCGTGATAATAGCCTTACCTGATTGGTTAATCATTCTTTTTTTTCTAGCGAGGGAAGCCAACTCACCTTGGCTTCCTCGCAGGAAACAGAGTGCAGTAGCATGTTTCCAACGCTCATTCCACACTTAACATTTAGAGGGGCGCTGTTTTACACATCATAAAACGCTATCTCAGAGAGAAGGACGGCGACAGAGACACGTCACAGTAGGCTTTAGTAAACTGTTAAAAAGGTAATTGAATGATGGTTATATTCTGAGAAAGTAGGGAAGACTCGGCCTCCGCAAGAAAACACCACTGTCTATAATGGTAATTTGCATTTATTTGCGTTCAAGTGTTACTTGCATGTGTAAATGTGTGTGTGGGTTTGGTGGGGGGATACAAGGTGACTCTGTAATACTAATATGGGTTCATTTAAAAAGAAAACATGTGATGGAAACGTGTGTTTGGGTTTGGTTTGAAAATTCTGGTTTACAAACACATTGACTTTAACTTACTGTACTGTACCATCCCAGCTTCAGCCACTTTTTCCATGAGTGATAATAGCCCATTAAATCATTGTTACTCTCTCTCTCTCTCTCTCTCACACACACACACACACGCACACACAAACCTCACCTGTCTTGATTCTCTTGGCTCTCCTTGAAGCACACATCTTCACCTCTTTGCTCTCTACAGAAAGAGCCATTCCTCAGTGACAGGA